TAGACCGGAAGTAAACAAACAAGTGGCGGCAAGTCATACCCACGTGATCCAATGGATAGTCGGCCAGAGCCTCGCTTTGGAGATGAAATGGTGACTTCAGCTTCATTCGTGATCGTTCCTCTTTATTGTTGTTCGGTTTCTTATCTACGCGTTTTGTGCATACATCAATGGCTTAGTCATAGCTGGATTGTATGTAACGATTCGTGAAGATGGGCTATGTGGAGTTTGTCCAGCCTTCGAGCCTTGTTGTCTGCAAATTGACTACTACCTCAGTGCTACATGATGGATTAACTTCATGAACGGTTTCTTAACTTTCTTTGCCCTTGGCCACAGCAAGAATTAAGATATATTTCATTTTCATTTCTGCTTTTTGAAGAATACAATGGCGTCTGTGAAAGTAGCTGTAAGAGTAAGGCCGTTTAATCAAAGGTAAAGTTTTTTTTCTCGTTGACATTTTTGTCGAAGTGATGGTAGCGTTATGTATTTTGATCTTACGTTACGGTCTTTTAACACAGGGAAATAGACATGGGTGCCCAAGGGATTATCGAAATGGAAGGAAAGAAAACACGCATTGTCAACATCAAGGTAATACAGCGATGTAGATTGTTACATGAGTGTATGTGGTTCATTGTCTTTCCACGACCATGTTGTAATTTTTATCATGTAGGGCGAACTCGTGTAAACACCTTCTTCTATAAGCTTACTTAATTGCCTGCTAATTTTCCTCAGCTTTTAGCTATCTTGAGACATATTTTGATTTGCAGGCAAGTACGGTAACTGGCGAGGGAGAGAGACGCAGCCGTGTTAAGGATTTCACTTTTGATCATTCGTACTGGTCGTTAGAAAAGAAGAACCCTCATTATGCATCACAAGAGCGGGTAAGGTACATTCGATCGAACTCATGATCGCATGACTGGTCGTTTATAAAACGATATACGCTAACGTACTCGAAAATTTTGCTAAGATTTATCAGCTAATCGCAGTGCCAACTTCCTAGTCATCAGTAAATAAAAACAAAGCTAAGAAGCAAGTAAACTATGTCACATCTGGATGGACCAGTTAACAATCTTTTCGAAATTATTTGACTTTCGTGAGAACCATGTGTGTGGTAAAAATTTGTGGCCTCTTGCCAAACTTAATCTTCTCAAGCTCAAAATATTCTACTGCATTTATGGAATAAAATTTGAGGATTTGATGCTGCCCTTTTATTTTCAGTTTGAAATAACTTTTGATGGGGCAAGGTCATTTGCAATGCAAAACAAATTTATTGGTGATCACGAGCCGTAACGACTGAGTAACCTTTGTCCAATAATTTTCAATGGCAATGAAAACAATATGAAAACTCTGGAATAATAGCATCACAATGAAGGGTTTTGCCTCTTTTTGTTTCCTTTGATTACATTGCACATAATCTATTCAAAACAAAATTTAATATCTTCCCAACAAAAATCTACATCTGGAGTACATCATAGAATGAAGTAAATAATGTATAGCACATTGTCACTTGATTAAAATTTAAGCAGCTGTTTATAGCTTGTGAAGCTTCATTCAATTTCGGTCTAATCATATAAATCGCCATTACGTTAGTAGTTTTTATTTTAAGAATAATATTTCTTTTTAGTAAATTTTTGTCAATTTTTGCGATAATGATGATTAATTTGTAAGTTTAAGACAAGGGTAAAATCTAACTCAAACAAAGGTTGATCTCTTGAATAAAACATCTTTTATTGATTTGTGAATGTTATAAATAATAAATAGAGTTTATGCCTTAACATGCATGTATAAATAGGCACAAACATATCAGCGTGCAAAGAAAGTCCTGTCCGATAGCCCGGGGCTAGTGGATTCTGCTGTTGGGCTAGTGAATTTTGTTCTTAACTTGCCCGATGGGCAAGTGACTTTTTTGGGGAAATTCAAATTACAGAAGGATTGTAATCAATCCTGCTAATCAAAAAGGCTTTTGGGGCTAGTGGAAATGACTTGTGGGCTAGTACATGCTAGCTACAGCTTGCCCGAATGGCAGGCTGTAAGACTGACCTTCTTTGCACCCTACATATGCAGACAGTTTGAATGTTAGCCAGGGATATTTCCTTAGCATTTTCTGGAACAATTCTGTATATTAATATCGCTGACTGTTCTTCCACATTTGTATTGTCAGTTCTATCAGTTATATTGTACTGATGGTGTTGACTGCAAAGAGTTTTAATGAGAGTGCAAGTCAATTTTCTTGAGGGGAGGTGACAGTAGAGTACATAGGATATTGAGAGGGGAGGGAGGGGTTAGCCTGAGATGTTTCCTAAGCATCTAATTCATTGAACTATCAATAATACCTTGATTGGGACATTTTGATTCTCATTCTTTGTTCATGCTGGAAACTGTTCCGCGTGGAGTGAGCAGTCCTTTGTGGTACTGATTAGCTGCCAAGGGTGCAAGATATCTTTGCCAGTAATACAGTGTAGATCAATTATTATTCTTCAACACACAGTGACCGAAAACAGCTAGCCAATGAAATTAGCCTGAAATTTTGTGAAATCTGTTTTCTTTGAATTAGGCCCCGTCCACACGAAGACGATTGTAAACGCAAACGCTAGTAAATGCATATTTTTATCTCTGTCCACACGAAAACGATCATCGTTTACGTAGCGTTTTAACCCGTCCACATGAAAACGCTCGTAAACGCATAAAACGATGTCATACACCGAAAGTTCTCTTTCCACTCTTCTGGTATCACCACTTGATCGGCAAAGTTGTTCCCCCAGGCGCTTGTACGACCTGGTCTGGTCCAGAATCTTCTCTCTTTGCTGTCACGTCTGCATCTAAGTCGTTTTACTCGAGTAAAAGTGCTTGTAGTTGTGGACAACAATCTTGAGAGGTTTAGTCTTCTTCTTTTGTAGTTTTCCTGTATATCGATTATTGCATGATTCAATTGAATGCTCGCAATTATGCTTGAAATAAGCGCAAGCATGACACAGCTCAACACTCGTGTGTACGCCATCTTGGAAACGCACTCGATAAAAGAGACTGGCGCTGACATCTGACGTCAGCGTTTTCACATCGTTTACGAAAATATACGTTTACGGCCGTCCACACGAAGACGCATAAACGGCGTTTTCAAATTTATCCACTTTGGAGAGCGTTTTCGAATTTATGCGTTTACGGTGAGCGTTTTCATCGTCTTCGTGTGGACGGAAGGCCTAAACGCATAAAAAAGTTTGCGTTTACTAGCGTTTGCGTTTACAATCGTCTTCGTGTGGACGGGGCCTTAGTGGCCATTACCCATCTCTAATACCAGTACATTTTTACATGGTATGTATGAATGTAATATTTTTATTATTTTTATTTTTATAAGGTTTTTAAAGATCTTGGTACTGATGTCCTTAAGGCTGCATTTGAGGGTTACAATGCCTGCATCTTTGCTTATGGTCAAACCGGTTCAGGGAAAACCTACAGTATGATGGGTTCTACTGATAACCAAGGTCTCATTCCACGTATCTGTGAAGGATTGTTTTCCGGAATGCGCAACAGTGCTGATAATGGCCCCTCATACAGAACTGAAGTCAGCTTTCTAGAGATATACAATGAGCGTGTTAGGGATCTTCTGAGACCACCTGTAAAAGGACGCCCAGTTCACTCACTGCGAGTCCGAGAGCATCCCAAGGAAGGTCCCTATGTGCAAGGTGAGACAAATGGTAGCCAAGCAGCTACTGTTTGGCTTGTAGGTTTTGTGCTTATACTAGCCATTTTGGCTTGTGAAAAATCTAAACACAGTAGAACTAATGGAAACCACATTCAAATGGGTTTCATATTTTTTCTTTTGTTGTATTCGTCGTGGAATATTTGTGTAAGTTCAGTCACTTGCTGCCGTTTGTGAGCAGAGTTCAGTGGTTCAATTTCATATTTACTTTAAATTTTATTTTTATCAACATCTGTGTGATAATGAGTTTAAAACAAATTACACCAACACAGGACGACGTGAGTGTTGCTTATATTCTTCACTTTCCCGGCCTGTGGAAACATGGTTATCTAGTTTTCCATGTATGCGACACAGTTCCACCGTGTTTCCACACCAGAAACCAACGATCATGTTTCCATCACATTCTTGTGATTACATTTCCATTCTTTCTTGTTTCCTTTACATTTCCAGTGATGTACATTTAATTGCTTTTTTTAACCCAAGATCATATGATCAATATTTCAGAAATTTTGTCTTTGTGAATAATCAAGGTGTATAATGGTAAATTTACTCTCGAGATTGGTCTATTAAATGGTTGTGTACCTACGTGTACCTAATCAACCATCAAAATCTTATCTCTAATTTCTTTTCCTTTTTACACTGTTTAATTTGCTGTGGATGTTTGGTGATTAATTGCAACATTTTTTCTTTTGAAGATCTTACCCGACATCTTGTTTGTGACTATGCAGCAATAGAACATCTGATGCAACAAGGAAACACACACAGGTATTTTGTTTGGGAAGTACTGTCTAAGCTATCAAATAGCTGATCAGTCTGCATTTTGCACCCCTCTATAGAAAAGGAATCTGCAAATGCTCCTTTATATAACTCCTGGGTGCTAAAAGAGTTTAGAAAATAGGATCTCTAGAAGTCAGGAATGGGGGCTTTTCCACACATTCTGAAGTTCACAAGTACAATTTTACATGTCACTGTTTTATTCATAGTTAAAATAAGCTCCACAAAGTTGCCTCAGGATCTATCATAAACAACATGATTATAGTTTGCCATACACGTTCAAAAAATATCACTTTAATTTTAATTAGCATTCTTCAAAATATTTACAATATTTTTATTCTTTGTGCATTGTGAGTGTAGAAATGGACTGAATTTTTTACAGTCTCTGGATAATTAATTTATTATAAACTTACTGTAGATTTTATTACTTAATTAATTATTTTAATTTATTTTAGATAAATTACTATTATTATAAATTACTGTGATTGATTACAGGGTAACAGCCAGCACTGGTATGAATGACACCAGCAGTAGATCACATGCAATATTCACAATCAACTTTACTCAGGTTTGTATGGTTATAACCTCTTACTTTTATTACAATGATTATTGATAATAATGACATCGAAGAAAAGCCAAGCAGAGCCAGGCAAGTCCAGGAAGGTTATTTCACTCAGCTCTACTTTTCACATGATAAAGATTGAATTTGGGAAGACAAAAGTAAAGATGATTATAAATTAAGTTGAGAATAAAAATTGCAGGATCTGTAGGGAGCAAGTTGGGATCATTCAAAAAGCAAAAGCTATTCTAGTGGATGACCACAAATAATGGTAGAAATTATTGTACTTATTACTCACAGAATTAAAAATTGCTTTTTTTTCAAAAGTATTTAAAAATAAAATAAACTTTAATTTAAAAAATATTTAATCAACGTAACATAGAGTTCTTTAAATAAATAGAGCGAGTTTTTAAAGTTAGTTTGTTAAATCTGTTGGTAGGGAATTCCAGAGGCGCGGACCAGTGAATTCAGCTGTGAAAGCATATTATTAAGTTTGTTACCTGTCGATGCTTTAAACTGTACACAGTAATTTATGTTTATCCTTTTTTTTGTACAGGCGAAATTTGATCATGATATGCCTTGTGAAACAGTCAGCAAAATAAACTTAGTGGATTTGGCTGGAAGGTATATGGTAACTTTTTAATTGTTGCATTATAGATTAAAGAAGCTTTAACTGTAAAGTATCTAGCCACAGACAGATTGACTGATTGATTTTTTCATTCATTTTGTAGTGAAAGAGCGGATGCCACCGGTGCCACAGGTGAAAGACTGAAGGAAGGAGCTAATATTAACAAGTCTCTTGTCACCCTGGGAACTGTGATTTCTGCACTAGGTAAGTGAATTGACTGAAGGTCTTTGTACTGAGTAGTCAAGTGCTGACAAAGCTCAAAGTTAGGGCCCATGGCACATTTTTATTATACTCACAGAGGGGTTACCTTTTGCCCATTTACATGTATACAAAACGTACTCTTACTAGCGACGAGTATGATAATACATCATTATTGACCAAGCGTGAGGTCAAGATGGCTTGATATTGGCGAAGTTCTTTTTTGTGAGTTTTTGTTGGCTAAGAAAAAGTTCAGGTCAATAAAAATGCGGAAAAAGAACTACACAGGGAAATATTCTACCACCTTGCATGAACAAGCTTAGTCAATAAAGTATTTATTAACGTTTTGTCATTATGTCCAAAAATCTTTTTCATGTGGTACAAAAGGGACAATACCAAGAGGGTAAGAAAGGCCCATCCTGTCCACTCAGCTAGCCAATCAGAACACAGGAATTGCTTTATCTTTCTTGTTTGTCGAGCCAAACATAAAAGACAGTCTTTTCCACTCTCAGTCTGTGCGTAGGTGTTGGATGCTACATTGGACACACAAAGATGGCAGATTCCAACCTTACAGACAGTGTAACTTATTCCTCTCCGTCAGTTGTAATTCATCACATTTAAATGCAACAAAAAGTTGCAAATTGCTTTGACTGTTATTGAAGGATCCACTAATAAAATTATGTAAAATGTAGCTGTTTATGGGAGGACAAAGTATCATCAATCATGCAGCTCTTAATCTTTGGTTGAAATTTCATTAGTCTGTATAATATTCTCTTCAGCTGATGCAGCAACAGGCCATCACAGCTCTGCGCATCACCACAAGTTTATCCCTTACAGAGACTCTGTGCTGACATGGCTTCTAAAAGACAGTCTTGGAGGAAACTCAAAGACAATCATGATTGCCAGTAAGCTCTCATAAACACCTTCAAAATCCTTCAAAGTCCTTGTTGACAATAATTGAAATTCCAAGGCATGAATTGCAGAGTTAGGGTTTGTGGTGTGGGAGAGGTGAAGATTGGCACAGGGAGGAGGGGTGGAACTCTAAGCTGTGTTCCATTACAAACTATACTGTATTACTCAACTTTAGATCTATTCTTGGTTTAGATCTTATTCTCACAAAGGCATCTTTATCTTTGACCTCTCTCACATTGTACTTCCTCCTATCAGAAGAATTTTTCTGATAGAAGCACTCCCACCCCATCTTCCCCATAGATCAAAGGCATATGAGTAAGAGAGCTTTCTGATTAGTGTATCATAACCATATTAAATAATTTTACCTTTTAGCATTAAGTCTTTATAGCATCCTTGGAATTTACAATGTATTCCTTCCAATGATATTAATTTGATTTCCTTTTGTATTAATAATTAAAAGTAGGATGATTTGTTAATGTTTTTCTTCGTACAGATGTAAAACACAGAGCTGACAGAACTGCTTTGTTGAATCTCTCAAAAATTGTGAGGTTTTAGACACTCAAACGTCAGTTACTGACACTTTGTTAGAGTACAGTAAGATGTTCAGAACTGACAGAACTGCTTTGTTGAATCTCTCAAAAATTGTTAGGTTTTGGACACTAAAACCTCAGTCACTGACACTTTGTTAGAGTACAGTAAGATGTTCATCTTTAAATATTTATTGGAGTTAATTTCTTTTTTTATTCTTCCTGTAGAGAATGGATTCTTCTCTTAGTTATGTTTTCCAAAACAAACAGAGAGTATAGGTATCAAATGGATTTTACCCTTAGCTTTTATACATGTTTGGCAAATTTTAAAATATTCCTTATGCAGCAAATTTGCAAGCAAATTTATTAGTGATATACTCCATATTAGTGAAATAATTTTAACTCTTAGACCAATATCTAAAATATAGGTACAGTACAGAGCTTATATTATTAATAAAATCGTTGCCTTCATTTTCCTCCCAGCCATCTCTCCAGCAGATGTAAACTATGCAGAAACTCTCAGTACTCTACGTTACGCTAACAGAGCAAAGAACATAATCAACAAACCAACTGTCAATGAGGTAATGCATTAATGTCAATTAAGTTTACACTGTATCTTACTCTAGATGATGTTACAGTGGAAACTTTTACCAACAGCCTGCGCTCTCATTGGTTACTTCGAGTTTACATGGCATCTAACAATGAAACTGTTTTCCACCAAAATCCCAGAGCGGACGACATTGCAAAAATCTATGACATCAGAGGGTAATATTATGCACAGTTTCACCTTGGGAAACATTGAGATTCTTGGGAAACTAAGTCAATGAATGAACGCAATTTTAAAACAAAGTAATGAGTAACACAATTTTATCTTCAGAGACATTCCGACGACAGAATACCACACTGGCACACAGAATTTTACTGTGATGACTCTCGAAAAATATGAACAAAAAGAAACAGAGATCACTACCTTTCGAAAGGCATTATGCTACCTTTAGTTAAAACAGAGGACATACTACGCTAATGTAAAAGAAAACTTCAGTATGGAAGTCACTGTTGTTTCATGACTTTGAGATCGTTCTATTAAAAACACAAAGTGAGATTTACTCAAGGTAGATTTTTATTCTTCCTTTAATATCGAAAAATGATTTATGATGAAAAACTTCTCTGAATATATTGTCCAAACACAGGTAGGATTTCGTCGGACATTAGCAAATTTTTGTCCACCAATGTCCGATGACAGAATGTTTTTTGTAGCCATGGTATTGTATATATTTTTGAATGAGAGGTATGTATTTTGCAATGGTACATTATATTTATTATTTCCCTCCTTTTTCAGTTGTGCTTTTTTCCTTTTATTGCAGGACCCTAATGTTAAGTTGATCAGAGACCTGAGAGCTCAAATAGAAACATTAAAGAACATGATAAGTCCAGTAAGAACAACAAATTATATGTTATGTCTTAGGTAGATTACTACACTGCAATCTGATAAGCTCGGACAGACAATGTAATGGCTAAATACATTGTATTTCATATCTGAAAGTTGGCAGTAGACTAGCATCATAGCCAGGGGGGAATAAGTGAATAGAAAGAGAAACCCGGTGCACTTAATTGTTTGTCCTAGCTGGCCAGTCAGACCAGTCCAGTCATAAAAATAACTCCACTGTTTAAGTCAGGTTTCATGAAGTAGTATCTGGTAATGGGTTTTGAGCAAAAACTTTTAAAAAAACCTATTTTGTTTTCATAAATTATCATTCTGGCCGGCCCATTTTGACTGGTTTTAGCCTTATCCATGTGGGTGTTCCTAGTCTCCTTCAGAGCTGCCAAGGCAGAAGTCACACAATGTTCCAGCCCTGTGACTCCGGCCCAATAGGCTGCAAAAGAAGACTAGGGTCTTCCTGGCTCAAAGTGAATGAGTAGTTTGGGCTTATTAACTTAGTTTACAACCCATGAAGAAATGACAAGGTGTCTACGGCTATTTCCAGAGGTTGGACTCCCGTGCCATTCTTTCAAATTTCTTTGACAAACAGTGCACTCAAAACCACCCACAATACTTTTGGGGATTGTCATGTGCAATTTTTCTGACAACCTTTCTGGAAATAGCTCTATATACAAGTGTACAAAATTAATGTAGCTAATACTCGCAAAATCCATTACAAACCCTTCTATGTATTAAGAAGCAAGATTGCAGAAATTTTAACCGTGCAATTTGTCTCTATATAATATTACCAAAAAGTTGTAGTTCAAAACAATGATAAGTACATTACATGAAACAAGTTGTTGATCAATAATTTAAATGTAGTGACTCTTCACCTTTATTGTTTTTTCCCCTCAGGAAATGTTAGGTGAAGCTGAAATGGCAGCTGCTAAGAAGCTCTCTGAAAATGAGGCTCGTGTGACAGAGCTAACTGATCGCTGGAAGGATAGATGGAAAGAGACACAGAAAATTTTGGAGGTTTAGACAATCGATCACAAGTTGTATTATCTTAATTTTAGTAATTGACAATAAAAGCAGTTATTTATACACATTTGAACATTACAACATAGCTGATGAGGTTCGTTGTGTTAAAAACTAAAAGTTTATCTAAGAATAAAAAAATTTCTAAGCTTAAGAACTAAGTGGCTTTGAAGCAAAAACTACTAAGAACTACACTGAAAATAAAACTGATGATTGGAAATGAAAGCAAACTAGCGATCCAAGTTCATTTAAAATTACAAAATTCAGCGGACAGTTTCTTATTATAGTATTGAATTTTTGTAGGAAAGGGAGATGAAATTGCAACAGGAAGGAGCAGGAATCAAGATGGATTCTGTACTTCCCCACTTGGTGTTAGTCAGTGATGACCTGCTTAGCACTGGGATTGTGGTTTATCATCTCAAGGTAACAGTATATACAGTTGTATGTCAAAGATCAAATTTTTCTTTTGTATCATTGAAAAAAAAACAGTGCAATCTTTGATATCCTTTTCCTCAGGCTCATTATCATAATCTGAGATGCAGGAAAACAAAATTAAACTGGTTTAAAAATGTGAGCCACAGCTTTAAACAGGTTTTAAAATACTCTTACTCTGTATACATTCAGAACTGTCACTAAGGACTGGATGCAGGGGATTCCGTCAGATGCTATGTGCATAATCCCTGGCTACTTTTGTAGGAAACTATCAAGGAAAATATATTAGGACAAATAGAACTTCCTAGCTGTTCAATTATCTGCTTACTGTTTGTAGTTTGCATATGATGTGATTCAATTTTATCGTTGGTTTAAATTTTTTTTGTTTTTGTTTTTAGGTATGTTGATGTATGATAATGAGTTTGAAACAAAAGAAAAGAAAATTTAAACCGAGGATAAAATTGAACCACAACACATATACCTGGCAAATTGAAATCTTAATAATGGCCCTTATGTTCATTTAAACACAGTTAATTACCGTCACTTGTACTTGTGCAAGCAAGTTTTTTCCAGTATTGCAAGAGTGTAATAGATCCGTTTCAGATTTCAGATTTAATTACTAGACTTCATTAATTTTGTTCTTTTCACATATTGTTTAACAGTCTACATGAAAAAACAAAAGAAAAATAAAATTTGTGAACTCTGCATGACTGGCTTTTGAATTAATCTCTGCCATGTAAAACAATTTGCATAGATATTTGCAAATATTTATCCAAGGGAAATTAAAAGGTGCAAAATAAATTTTTATTCGTGTTTTTTTGTTACAAGAATTTAGAGCCATGTCTGTAATAAATTATTAAAAATAACAATATCCTTAAAATTTTAACACTGCTTAAAATAGTTTACGGTTTTTGTTTCCCTGTCATTAGTTTCTATTTCCTGAATATTTCCTTGTCATTATCATAGTGCAACCTTAATTCTATTTGTATTGGATTATGAATGTTCAGTGAAAAAAAAAGACATAATTTTTATGAGTTCTCATAGTTGTCAGTTAGTAAACCTGGTCTTACACTTCCTAACTATACATTGTACCTTGATGTTCATGTAAATTATAATATGTAAAAAACATACCTTCTATAAGCTTCTTTGACCTTAATTTTCATATGATCCCATTACAAAATTAATTTTGTTTGGACTCACTATATGAACAATTATTATTGGCTTGAAAAGTAAAAGGCCTTTTTATATCACTTGAAAACAGAAGAGTTTGTTTTTTGTGTGTACAAGCAAAGCTTTTTTGTTTTGAAACAAAGGGAAGAATGCTGTGATTGTTTTGTACTTTTAATTTATGCATACCTTTATCCTCATGTGCACATTTTGTTAGTAAATCCTTTTAAACAAAGCAAAGGCTTGCAAACCACTCTTGTAATTAAATACTATATAATAATAATCAGCTGAACCTTCAAGAATTATGAATCAAAGTATTTTTGTGGTTGATTTTTTGAAAGGAAAGTCCAGCTTTATGGATGTTTTTGGGAAGTTGTTACAGTAAATTTACATGTCAAGCTTGAATGGATCTAAATGAATTTGAAGAATTTATCAGTCATTACGTCAACTTCTTAGAGGTTGGCATGATAGTGATTGTTTGTTAATTTCAGCATCACGCAGTGAGACATTATTCCGCATAAGAAAAACAATCTGTGATATTATTAGGAGTAAAGCTGATTATTTTGCTTCTTTTGCAGGAGGGAATCACTACTGTTGGGCTTGCAGAGAACCCGCAAAAACAGGACATAGGTACTGTAAATGTTGTTTTGACCTTAATGGGTTTCTTAATATATATTGCGCCCAGTTGTTTGAACATACAGTCACATTTGAAAATCGGAAATTTTGCATGCACAGCCAGCTAAGTACTCATGATTTAACAGCATATGGACTGTAACTGTTGTTATTTGTGAACATTGTTAAGCATGGATTTGTTGCTTTGTGCATTAGGTGACTTTGACACCACTTAGTGCACACATTATATATTGTTGAATGTTGTTTCTTGTTTGATTCCCTTGTTTTGTAAGATCAGGATGTAGCTAAAGGAAAGCTCTTACTCTGGTGAGACAAATATTAAAAACAACAGAAATTTCATTACAAATGAAGTGATGTAGGATCAAGATTTTCAAGGAAAATTGCAGCCCTGAAAGCAAAATGAAACTACATCAACATGTACTTCATCTTTACTCTATCCCTGCAAGATACTAGTGAGATACTTGTGTTTGGTTTAGAATTTCACTGCCCACAGGTTTAATCTGATTTTTACTCTACGAAATCCCCCTATAAACCACACACTTGCACACAAAACAGTTAATCACATTTAATGTTATTTACAGACAAAGTTAAAATTACTACAACCATGAATGCTCAATGGATAATCAATTTTAATTGGCATTAAGATATATGTATTATACCTGTTTATTTTTAACAGTTATTACTGTAGCTGCTTGCAGCTATTTTAAGATTCTTTTGACTTCTCTATTTTAAGGCATTGGAGATCGGATACAATATACAATTCTCATTAATATGTTGCTTTTTTCGTACAAGGAACAAACATTTGTACATCTGACTTAAAGAGAATACAAGTCTTGTAACTTGTTGTAATAGTAATTATTTAATATACAGTTTTACTGACCAAATAACTTGGTGAAATAACAATCACATTTTTGTAAGATATAACTTGATTTGTTGCCACCCTGTAGTGATCAGTGGACCAGATACAGAGCAGGAGCACTGCATATTTGAACACAATAAAGGACATGTTATATTAAACCCTCTGAAGTCTCAATGTTCTGTGAATGGAAACTCGATTTTAAAACCAACCAGACTGTTTCAAGGTACACGTACTATAGCCCTTCAATAATAGTGATCTTTAGATTAAACTATATTAATATATTGGAATGAGATCTAGTCTGTATACCCTTCTCTAGTTTTGAGTAAGTTTATTCCTTAGAACCCTCTATCTCTCTTGTGTAGCTCTCTAGGGGGGTTACGTATGTCCCTAGTGTGAATTTCAAAACCTGTCGCTTCATGTATTGAGGAGGGAGCCGGGTCGCTGTCGGTATTTTACTATTGTATTTTCGGTTTTCTCTGTCGCTATCGCAGTTTCAACCGATCTTTGAGTTGTTTCTTGCCATTTACACTGTCGTATGTCGCTGTTTCAAGACCATGTCACTTGTCGGAATTTACCCCAACAGGGTCCCTCTTGTTGCCTACCAGCACATAAAGAGACCATATAAGAGAAAGGTTGTTATCAGGTATATCTACATGTATGAGTGTTTACAACATTTGATGACAGGCCACTGTAAACACCCATACACATGTAGATCAGATGTGAATGTTTTAACATAAAATGAATCAATCAGTGGGGATCTGTATGAAGATCATTTAATGTGAATTAGATGAGAGGGAGTTTGTATCTGTTGTGGTTAATTTTTTATCTCAGGTAATTTTTTTATTTTTCTTTTGTTTCAACTTGATCAACATGCGTTACCATAACCAAAAAACAAAAGAAAAACAAAAATTACCTGAGATAAAAAATTAACTACAACATATACAAAGTTAATTCTGCTGTTAATCACTATTAATCTGTGCAGTTGATTTTCATTACTTTAATGAATAATTAATGAATTTGACAAGATGATATATTGTCTATCTAAAGCACATGAACTGGGTTTAATAACATGTACTGTTACTCAGTCTCATAATTGAGTCAATTCTGAAGCAGCCAACGTTTCATTACCCAAATTTGGACAGTGCTTCTGATTGGTTGTGCCGGTAGGGAAATTTGCTTCAACCAATCAGAAACATTACCCAGATCGAGGTAGTGAACGTCATCAGTATGGAATTTCTGTAGTCGTTCCTCAGACGTCATTAAGGAGCTTAAGCAACTACGATGACGGCAACTTCAAAAAACACTAGATTTAATGATCAAAACAGCAGCTCTGCACGTGCATCACGCTTTTTAGTGCATTTCTTTAATGTCCACTGCATGACTACGACGTGAAACCTCCTAATTTGACGTTTTATGGAGGACGTGGACATACGACGACGAATTTTCCTTCCTCTTTTTAAACTTGAATAAAATCCTTAAGAATTCAACTCCAGGAAAAGTCGCCTGCATTTGACATATTGAGCGGGTCCAAATAGACGCGATTAAGTTTGAAAGAATGCAAATTCATTTTTTTAGTGACGTTTTCACTGCCGTCGTCGTCGTCGTCGTCGTTGCTCAAGGTTTCTCTTTCGCGGGGGAAACCAGTGATGGCGTCCCTAAATGTCGGTTGTTTCCTCAGGGTACTGTATATGAGGTATATTGAAGGACGCGATCCAGACGCATACTTTCCTTGAGCCTATTAAATACGTCAATCAAGAATGGCTATAATTTTTAAACTGGAATATCTCAGTTATTGTTCTTGCTCGGCTTGGCCAGTAATTTTTGTCATCATTGTCATCATTTTTCATTTTTTAAAACTGTATTTTCAGGCGACGTAATTGTCTTGGGAAATTCAAATGTTTTTCGCTTCAATCACCCCAGAGAAGCAGCTGAGTTACGAGAGAAGAGAAAGGTACACAAGAACCTTAGTTTGTAATTTAAACCGTGGACAAATGCTACCCCTCGAGAGTATCAAGAGCCTTTTTTTGAGCACCTCCTAAGATGTGCTATAGGCCTATTTAGCTTATGTTTTGTTTTCCCAATGGAGGTCATATGATAATACGTTAGTGAACTGTTTCTTTCAGATTTTGCCTTGTTCACGTGCATATGTAAGGATAATTTATGAGAAGACAAAGGGAAAAATTCCCCTGAGACCTTCACTGAGAAAACAAAACATGTAAGCTAAAGAGGTCTATTGGACTTTTCGAGATGCTTGGGACTGGGTTGTTGATCTTGCGTTGAATTGAACTATGGGACTGTTTTGAGGGTCTCAGAGGTGTGGTAGCTTTGATGATTGACGGTGAGAGAACGTGGAGAAGTTTAGAGATTCCTCAGGAGCCAGAAGTCCGTGAAGATCAGCTGAAGTGAGATCTGAAATACCTTGAAACTTTTTGAAGGTTAATATTAATTTGTATCTGTGGCAGTAAAAAAATAACCTTTTTCGACGGCTGACGGTTACATTTGAGGCCGTTTGACGACTGACGGTTAGCCCCATTGAGAACTTCTATTTTGGGGGACGAATTCTGGTCCAGTTTGCCGTGCAACATCGTAATGACGCGACGTGGTCCCCAAAATACTCCCATCATACAGTTCGGACCATTAGAAAACTTATGGGGGGGGGGGGGGAGGCGAATACAAAAAAAAAAACAGAAAACGTAAAGAAGAATAAAAAAAAATTTATTACACCCTTTATACCTAAAAAAAATTATAACGCTGACAGCAGAAATATAACTATCATGCGATCTAATCTCTAAACATAATTCTATGATGTCAATAAATCTCACCCCCCCAAGTAATTGTTGCAATTAGGTGCGACATGTATATCTCAGGAAGTTCATATGGGACGTGACATTGGGGCTGTGGCGGACTAGAGATTATCGGCTGTGCGGAGGTGCGGGCGAAGGGATTTGGGCGTGTGGGGGGGGAGAGGGGGAGAGGGCTGGTGAGGGGGGGGGGGGGGGGGGGGGGGGAGGGGGGGGGAAACGGGCGAAGTAAAAAAAAAAAATCGCGCAAGGGAAAATTAAATGAAAAAAAATTCTTGCACGCCAATTAGCCCTAAAAAATATTCATGCTATGGTGTAAAAAAAATTCATACAAGGAATTTGATAACGAAAAAAAATTCCAGCGGCTCGAAAATTCCCCTCCCCCCCCCATAACTTTTCTAATGGTCCGTCCCTAAGGAATATGTAAATATTCTATGATAATTGAGTCTATTGCCAGATGCTAGCAATTTTATCAATTTTTCCAGTGTTCCCGCACGCTTTGAGTAAAGCTACTAATGGCGTTATTTACCTTTTGTAACATTTTAAGCGGGCTTGATGCCTTGTAGTCTTTGTTGCGGTAGTCTTACATTTACTAATTATTTATTATCTTTGCTTTGCATCATACTTGCTGTCGTGTTTTGATTGTTCACACCCGGCCTTTCTTTCCAGGAAGAGCGCGGGGTAAGTTTTCATTAAATCCCGACACAATTAACTTCAAGTGATTCTATTAACTCGTTAACCTTACAGTTACTCCGCAAGGAAGTCCAGCATTAAAGGGCAATGAAACTGTCAATTTTTCTTTTCTGTTTAGTATGCACACTTGTGACGTGGCAAATTAGACGTCCTTCTTAAACGTTCGCTTTCAGCAGTATGCAACACTTGTCTTGATTCTTTCAAGGTCTTCAGTCGTCTCGCTAGATACAAAAGTCATTTCGCTGCAAGTCGTTTTGATATAGCGTGTATCAGATAACTATAAAACCAATCTAAAAGTGATTTATTCTTGCCTTCGTGCTAAGAGTAAATTGAGCTGGAATAATATCGTATGGATGTAGTTTAAAATGTAGTAAATCGACTACACTGCAATAGCTTGCAATGTAGCGCAACAACCGTAAAATTATGGGTTTGAAACCTGTTGGAAACTCATGGTTTTTCTTTGCATTACACTTGATGGTGAACATTACATCTTTGTTATAGAGTATTTTGTGTAAATAATACCATTGGTCTTTCATTTTGTTATACTGATTTTCTTCAATTAGCTTAAAATCCTCAAAATCTCAAGGTTACACCATAGGTTTGGTCGGGGCATGGTCCATTCATTTTTTTTCTAGTGGCTGGATTTAATTGTTTTTGTAGAAGTGCTTTGTATTTTAGGAGTCTGGTGCTGTTAACATGTTCGGTAATGTAGTTGAGGTAAAATGTAGCCGATTTTAATACTTCGATGGATAATTTGTTCTCTGACTGCCTACAGAATTCATTCGGCGGCGGTGGTGCTTCTCTTGCTTGGTCAACCAAGTTCCGGAGTGAAACAGACCTGGTTTTCAGAAAAGGATCTGGGGCTGAGTGAGTATTACTGAACAACTGTAGTGTTTTGGTTTATGGACCGGAATCTCAGAAAACTGTGAACACCTGAAAATTTTCAGGAATGTTGATTTTGTACTGGCCAATCACAATAAAGTTCAGGATACGCAAGCAAACCTCAAAACCACAAACTAAATGCCGTTGTTGTTTGCGGTTTAGTTATGTCGCGCCTTATTGGCTTATTTCTCGCAACACAATAACATTCTATAAATATTTCTGGTGTTCACGGTTTTGTGAGTTTCACAGTAAGTGCTGTTGCTAGAAGCTAGGAACAAGCTGACTTGTTGTTCAGAATCAGAAGAGTCCCAGTAGAGAGCCATCCATTTCTTTCATAACGGAGGTGATTCAAAAAGTGCATATCAGAAGTTATCAATGAATACGACTGAAAGTTTTGTGTCTCATTAGTTTATCAAATTTCTGGGTCTGTGTTCCTGGAATAACAGGATCAGCCCATCAAAAGTACAAAGCTGTTAATTGCAGTACAACTCCTGTTTTTTCTTCGTGGGCCAGTTGGTTGTTAGCGTGAAAAAGTTAGACTTGATACTGGAAATTCCCAGCCTATCACTTTTTCACTACAAATTCTCGACGAAATTATAAACTTTTCCAGAAGAAACCCTTGTATTTATAGACCATTGCTCAGAAACTGGCCACACACACCAATATCTTATGTATGAGAGTTCCTAGGGAGCTTTCGTGCAAATCTTAATCTTTTAATTCTTACAAAGCTTCCAACCTTTCTATTCTGAGTAAATGACGGTAACTTCTATTTCTACTTTATTGTCTAACAACTTTAGAATCAAGTAAATACTGACTATTAACTAAGTAAGTAAACCGGTAGTCATTCTGTGCCGATTTTGTTGTTGCAGTTTTCTACGTTCTGGATTGTGGGCAAAACTGTTAGTTAAACACCAAAAATAATTCCCTGACACTTCAAGTGTACCTACTAACACACTGCACTGCACCTTTGTATTATCAAATCATTATACGTTTCTTGGAAGCTGCCCACCTACCCCTCCCCTTAGCCAACATTTTGCCCTGAGTGAGAAGTAAGTGTTAATGGTGGCTTAAGGGAGGGGTAGGTGGGCAGTTTCCCAGAAACGTGTAATGCCGTAGTTTCTTGGTTTTGCGGGCGCGAATAATCACCAGATGACGTAATAAAAAGGATTGAAAAGACACTGATAATATCCATACCTCGACTTAAAATTGAACCAACAATAGTTTTCGCAACACCAACAACCATCCACCTTTTTCTTGACATAATTCAGATTTTTTTAAAAAATTGTGTGGTCTTAAGTTTTTTTGTACCTTGACTTAATTGACCGTGATTAACACTTACTGACCGTGATTAACACTTACTGAGAGTTGGGAGTGATTACTTATTACCGATTCATTGTAGAGCAGATTTCAATTGCGAGTTGCAATGTTGGTGCGAGATTGTTTGCTTTGGTTTTGTATCGGTATGAGGTTTGATTAACATAAAAGTTTTGCGCCGTTTCCTCGACCAATCAGATGGTAGTTGTCCAAATGGTGGAAACGGGGAAATAAACGTGCGCGAGAGAGGGAGAAAGAAAGGGAGAACGCGTCTTTAACACGCACGCGGGAGGTTACTAAGCTTCTGAGTGCTTAGGAAACGTCACAAGTGCTTCCATAGCTTTAGTGTACAGCTGCAGCGTTTGTCATCCGTCGAATTTTGATTTTTTTTTGGACGCACGCTATGGCGGGTACAAAGTCTTGCTTGGAAAAAATTTCATTTCATTAAATCAGTCGTTTTGCTTCTCAACGTGGATTGTATTAAAAACCTCTAAATTGTTATTCTGAGTGACGCTTGTATCAGTTTCCTTTGATATCAGCGTAAACCTTGGGAAGCTTCGTCATGAGACACGAAGTATAGTTGCGTTTCAACTGACACGTTTTAGAGTGATCTAGCAACAGAACGGGAACGTCAGTTGACGACGGAAAAGCGCACGGAAAGGACTGAACGCGACTTCCGGTGTACAATTTGCCGCTTCGCTAGGCCATTGGTCAACCTGGGCGGATTTGGGCGCGGAGTCGCAATTTAAGCGCGCGCTAGCTTCGCCATTGTACTCCCACATAGGAAATAGCAAATGGGGAATTGACCAATCAGAGCGTGCGTTTTCGTGGCCGTTATGATTCACCATAGTAATTTATATTTTTGCAGTCATTCCGCACTTGCAACGGCAGAAGTGTTTTCATGTCTACTGCGTTTGTAACAGTACATGTATTGCTAGTCAGAGTAAGGGACAGGGATTTTTTATTTAATGTTCAAGGCGCACTCAAAAGGTGAATTGTAGTGAAAAGATTGTTTTGTAGAACCATTAGATAAGAACTTATCATTAGATTCTTATTACTATACTTATTCTTATAAACGCTCTGTTCGCTTTTGCTCCACAGTGAAGAGTCGTTAAGCCGGCAACTTGAGGAGGCAAGGTATGGTATTCTGTTTGGTAGATTAACTGTCGCTCCTAACTGTAACCAGTCACAAGTTTCCTTACATCAATACGTGTTATAGAAGGGCCATCAGTAGTGACATATTTTTGTTGGGGCTTATTACTAGAAGGGTTCATTTTCAGTCATAATGGTGGGACACCTTTACACCTCCCATTTAACCCTTTCGGCCTTAGTCCATGTAATTACGAAATAATTTGTCACTTTGATTGTTTACAATTTTCAAAACGTTTCTGGAAAATCCGGTTGGAAAGTAAATAAAGCACGACTTTTTAGATCGTTTTGGTGGAAAATTTCCGGGAGTAACGAAACGTCTGAAAAGGTAGTCCTCTTTTTCCGATTTCTTCAAAGCCAACTTTGATCAGTACCAGTTTCAGCCTTTCGCGGCTGTTTTTCGGTATATGTAACTGATTAGTGCACATGGTAAACGCGATTCCGGGACGAAATGTACCAGTCTTGAATTTTGCTTACCCGCTTATCATTTGACTAAACCATGAACCGACCGGTTTGCCCTTGTAAATGGTAAACAACTTCTAACTTTTAAATCTGTAGAAGAAATCCTATGATGTTGCCATTCCAATTAAAAATCTTGAGAGGTGCTGTTACATGGTACTATTTATTTAGGATGTAGTTCTAACTTTTGAGTCTGTGGATGGAATCCTATGATGTTACCATTCAAATCAAACCTCTTTTGCAGAACGTTTGCACTGTACCAGCGTGCAAAGAAAGCCATGTCCGATAGCCCGGGGCTAGTGGATTTTGCTATCGGGCTAGTGATGTTTGTTCTTAACTTGCCCGACGGGCAAGTGCTGTTTTTTGGGGAAATTCAAATTACAGAAGGATTGTTAGCAATCCTGCTAATCAAAAAGGGTTTTGGGGCTAGTTGAAATGACCTGTGGGCTAGTACATACTAGCTACAGCTTGCCCGAATGGCAGGCTTTAAAACTGACTTTCTTTGCACCCTGGTTACCTGTTAAGATTTGACAGAAAGAAACTTGAATGGATTTTTTGTGAATTTGTTTTCCTTTGGTCTGTAGTATAGGTTTGAAATGGTTAAGTCACCACGTAAATCTGATGCACAACCTGTGGAGAATTCAGACCTCTTATTCGATGTTAGGTCAATCTAGACTGCAAGACGGTACCGTAGCAAATAGGGGTATCAGGACGAGTACTAACTCGTTTTTGTTGTTTTTAAGAAATGAATTAGAGAAGCAGAAACAACTTGAGGCTTTGAGAATCGAGGAGGCAAAGTAAGTCTTGCGATCGTTAGTACTGTGTTTGACTGTGTCGAATTAATTTCTGTTTTCCGCTGTCGATTTGGATCTGTGCTCTTTCAGCTTTCAAGGAAACTGGTGCCACTTACTTCACTACTGTCGATTTGTTAGCGCGCAGGCATTCTTGTGGTTTCAGTGGAGCATTTAACCTTTCAGTACCAAAAGTGTCCAGCATCAATTTTGCCCAAAAAATTTCGGTACATAATCAAGAGAAATAAATATGAGATTTTTGAAAATCATTGCTGCTAGCAAATTCTCTCAACCAATTATTCAGGGAAATGTATGGACGTTTGTTTGTGGATATTTTTCAGCTTTTGAATATACGTTTTGTTTGGCTTGGGTAATTAATTTTCAGTGGTTTGGGCTTGATAATGGTGAGTTCAAATTCGCACCGTGAAGTCTGAGGAGGATTCTGTCGGCCAGTGTTTAAGAGTGTTTTTTTATGTGTGTTTGTTTCTCTTTCAGAGCGGATTTTGCATCACAGATACAAGAAGAATCCAAACGACTCAATGAAACAAGGTAAGAAATTGTGATGTTGCGTTGCAGCCGAGGATTTCTCAGAATAAACGCAAAAGAAAATGAAGTTCGTCGTGTAAAAGATTGTTTACGTGTCTTAATTTGAATCTTTCATGGTAGATCATCATGTTCCTTAGATCGGTTTTTTTTTATTCCTTTGTTGTATAATCACTTATTTTTATCTATCATTACTCATACAAGAAATTTTCCCGCAAAGCCAAGAGGAAGAATTTAAAATGAATTTTAGTAGGGAAGTTGATAAACACAATGAATCATTGTAAATATTTCTAGTTTCAATACATCAACGAAGGCCTTCAGCTGAAGACAAAGTTCTCTGTCCTAATACTTCAGGAGTTTTACTGATGTGAAAACATCATAATTTAACTTTTTAATAGAGCACTAAAACAGCTCCTTCAACGGATTCAATATTACCATGAAAAGGGGAGAAAAAAAATCAACAGAAATTTGAAAGCATCAACTGAGTGTAAACAAAGTTTCAACAGAATGATTATTATTTTTGATTTTAGTATCACCTGTCGTGAAATCAAGCTGGGTGAACTGTAGTCCACTTTTCCTCTGTAATATTGCTCGTTATGTCTTATCCGTTGTTAAAATAGTATAGAGTTTTTTTTTTACAGTAGATAAATGTCGAGAAAAAAGACTCAGTTATCATCATCATGTCACGAGCGTGCAGAAAAGAGTTTCTGAAAGAATTCGAATCTGTGACCTCAAAATATGAGGCTTGTTATATAACTTTTCTTCAAATTTGAATTAGGAACTACCGGAACTACCGCCAAAAAATCTATTTTCTTGCACAATTGCATTTGCCGATGGTAACCCAGCTGAAATTTTTCGTGGGAGCACAGGATAAAATTGGAAAATGTGAAGAGGCTGTTAGTTGCCCCTTTAATAATATTTGTGAATGTTACCTGCAATTTAAGCAATTGAAATTTTTAGTTTGGTCTTGAATACCTTAACCATTGGACTGTGCTATTTGTATTTTCAGAGCTGAACTTGAACGCCAGAGAAGGCTGCATGCTATGGAAGTACAGAGTGTCGAAGAAGCAAGGTTTGTTGATGCCCAGTGTTTTTATTGCAAGAAAGTAAAATTTCAAACCCCAATATTTATCTTTCATACCTCGGTCTAAGAGTTTTTTTGAGTACGTTTTATCCTTGGTGATGTACGCATTCATCATACTTTTCTATGCACAAGGATAAAGAGAAAAAAAAATGAGCCAAAGATAAAATCGAACAAAAACCACAGCCACTATGCTGCACCAATAGGGGATTGAAGAACTGAAAATTTGGTCTTAATAAAATATCTACCCCGTTTTCGGCTAATAACGTTACTCGACTTTACTGGAGACCTTACGAAACTGGCAACGGGAAGATCAAAAGCCTAGGCCAAACGTCGAACTTTTCATGAGACGAACCAAACTTAGTGAGTTAAGTTCATGAAACGTTCGACGTCTGGCTCAGTTAAGTTCGTCTGAATGAGTTTGGATCGTCCAACACGTTCTGTCCGTCTGCTTTTGACAAATAGAACGTCTGTAGATCATCTCCGGGACACGTCTGTCTTCAGATGCGGCGAACTAAACTAATAAATTAAATGTTTATTTATGATAATGTATATTTAGCCTCGATCGGGAAAAAATGTATTAAAATAGCTGTTTGGTCTGATTCAGTTGATCGGTTCTACGCATCCTATACTAAGTTCCACGGATCTGACCCAGAAGACGATCTTAACTTAATCTAGCCGGTCAGCCCAAATTACAGTTTGGTTCGTCTCATGAAAAGTTCAACGTTTGGCCTAGGGTTAAGAGTGATGAAATTTGAAACAGCGCGAATTCACTTTTAAAGTGACGTTGTCGCTGCCTCTGCTGTTGTCGTCGTTGCTACTTAATCGCCCTACTAACGGCTCGATTGACGACTCTCGCGGGACTTTGCGACTCGAGGAGACGGCTGAAATTCAGGCTAACTTTATAACGAACAATCTGGAGTCAATTTAATAACACTTGCACGGCAAGTGTAATTTACAAGTCAAGCAATTGTTTTAGAGTCTGAAAACACTAGCTACCCTTGTGAAAGTTTTATTAAATTGACCCCTGATATAACAAACGATCTTCCTTGAATACATGAAAAAACATGATTTTTCCAGGTCTCCTGGTATTCAAATTTCTTTATAGCGGCGTACAGCTGACAATATGTTTTTTTCTTTGAAAGGAAAAAAGTGGAAGAATTAAACGACAAACACAAACAAGCCGAACTCGAAAGAACTGCAACTGAAGCTGAACTTACTAAAGAAATTGAAACTCGCGAAAAAGAATTAAAATCCCAGAGAGAACAAGTTGATAAACTTCGAGATGATATCGAGAAAATGAATCGAAAAGCGGACCAAGAGTTGTCGAATTTGAAGAAAGAAATTCGAAAACAGAAAGAGGAAGAATTATTGCGTTTGAATGAAAACATGAAAAAGATTATGGATTTGGAAGAAGAGCGAGATAAAACGAAGTTGCAGGCTATGAAAGAACGCAAGGAATTGAAAGAGAAATGGAAAACAGAATCCGAAAAAGTGAAAGTTCAGCGAGATGAACTGAAGGAAAAACAACGAGTGTATGAAAAGAATTTCAACGCTCTTGAAGAATCTCGACGGGAGGCCATGTTGGAAATTGAAGAATTTGAACTCGAGAAATCTCTAGTTTTGGAAGGAATTCGAGTTAAAGAACGTCAACTGGAGGAATTGAAAGCCGAAAGAGAAGCGGCTTTAAATATCGCGAATAATGATATCAGTAAACGACGCGAATTACTGGAACTCGAATTTTTAGAAGAAAAGCAAGTTTTAAAGGAAGAAAGAGCTTATCTTGAAGATCGGATACATGGCTGCGAAGCTCTTATGGACATTGCCGCTGACAATTTAGCAGAAAAGCAAAACACTCTTGAGATTAGGACAAAAGAGGAACACGTAAAAGTTGAAGAAGCAAAGCAAAAGCTAAGAGAGATGGAAGAACAGTTGGGCTTAAGAATCGAAACAGCGGAGAATGAGATTGCCCGTAAGAAGTCAGATTACCAGGAAAAGGCAAACAAGCAGAGGGAAGAAATCCAGAAATCAAAAGACTTTTTGCAGACGAGGGTAAAAGAATTGAATGAGCTTACGCAAAGACTTGGAAGTTGTGCGGGAGAGCAAAAACTACAGCTTGAAAAAGAAATCGAGAAAATGACAGAAAAAGTTAACTTAGAGAAAACTAGACTTGGGTCTCTAGAGGAGGAAGAACAGACAACAGCAGAGAATTTTGAGAGAGAAATGGAGGAAGATATGAAACTTTTAAAGGAGAGAAAACATAAACAAAGAGAGGCAATTGAATTAGAAAGGTTAAATCTTGACGGGCTTGAAGATTTTAAGCGACAAAAACTGGAAACCGAGGAACAGGAGTTTAAAGACGCCCAAGAGCAATATAATCGAGCTAAAATGCTTTTAATTGAATCAAAGAGGAACTTGACAGATCTTGAACAAAGACAGAACAGATTTTCCACAAGGGTTGAGGACGGACTGCTACGGTTGTCGAAAGTTTTAGAAGGAGAGCTCGTGTCTCAAGGAAAACAGGATGACATGTATCAGTTAAGAGAACATAAACTTTCCTTAAAAGAAATCGACGTGGAAGGCAAGATAAAATTAACGGCACAACAAGAAAAGCTTTCCGCGGAAACTGAAAAGCTGTTGACTTTGAGGAAAAATCTAAATTTCATGCTCGAAGACACGGAAAAGGCGCAAGAGAAAGCCGAGGCAGACCTTTTTGAGTTACAAAATCGGTTTGTTCGTGACAGAGAAGAGGAGAGGACGACTAGAGAAGCTATGGAAGAGAGTCTGAGAGACATTGAAGAAGAAGCAACTCTTTCACGAAGTCTAACCGAAAGGGAGATCGGATCACCGACGACTGTGAGCTTGTTATTAGCTCACGAAAAACAAAGGTGAGTATTAACTTTTACCGTAGAGGGGCTTGGGGGGGAGCTAGGTCAGCTAGTAGAGTAAATCCCCGCATGGACCACTACCCAGGGTCTCAGTGATGAAATTACTGATAAAGAACGTACTGTTTTGTCACTGTGTGTAACCGAGCGGTTAACACCTCGAACTCCGGATCTGTAAGTACGGGGTTCAAGCCTCGCCCGTCGCGTTGTTTCCTCGGAAAAGGAACTTTACTCCACTTTGTCTCTCTTCACTCAGGTGTATAAATGGGTACCGGCGACGTACTGCTGGGGGTAACCCTGCGATGGACTAGCATCCCGTCCAGGGGGTAGTAGCAATACTCCCAGGCATGTTTCATGCTAAGGTAACCGGGATAAGCTCCGGCCGTTTGGGCCTTTGGCTCGTGTGCACCTTTACATTTACTTTAACCTATTATCTCTTGACAGGATCAAAGCGGAAATGGAAGTGAAGTTAAAAGAGCTTGAAGAACATAAGAATCGCGAGGTTGAAGAGATGAGACTCGAAAAACAAGATATCTTGACCAAACTCGATGTGGAGAAACGTGACCTGGAACGACAAAAAGAAGAACTGGAGGCGACAATTCACAGAGAAAAGTTAGAGCTCGATAAGGAACGAGAGGTTTTGGAAAGAGAAAAACTGGACGAAATTGAAGGAATTATACGGGACAAGGAAAATGAGATTGAAGAATTGAAGGAGAAAGCGCAGCATGAAATCGACGAATTACGAGATCGGCTGGATGAAACTGAAAGGTCAGTAGAGTTTGTTGAAATATATTACTTTTCTAAGTTTGCTACTTTACATTACAATCATGCGTTCCATTTATTAACCCTCGGACGTACAAGGGAGAGGGGGGGCGGGTGTATGCCACCTCCCTCCCCCCTCTTAAGGTTTTTCTGAGTTTTTTCCTGGAGTATAAAACAGCACGTGACGTTTTCAGTAGCTGTTCTTTCATCCCTTGCGCAAATTTTGAGACAAATTCAGTGTTGGTCAGTTGCTTTGGTCAGTTTCTAATTCTTGGTAAAATCCAGATGGCCACCATTGTTGGTGACGTCACAGGCCTCCAGCAACGCCACCACCCATAAAATATACTTTATCTTGTTAAAAAGATCAAAGGCTTTCCACTAAAGGAAAATCGTTTCGAAGTACTGCAACATATCAAAAACTCCGGGGAGGGGTTCCACCCACCCCCCGCCCCCTCCTCCTTGTACCACGGTGGGGTATGAATTTGCGTGTACGTCCGAAGGTTAAACAACGTTAGCAATATATTCCTTGCAATGTACTGCATTATCTCTGCTTGGGCCGTTTGTTCCAAAGACGGGTTAAACTACCCTAACTCTAAAATTTTCAATGTCTATTGAAGTCGTCTGAACTGTGTCTAAGTCTTCTCTGTTGTTTTAAGTCAGAAAACAACAAGTCAGCCAATTTGGTTTAGACATACTTCTATTATCTTTTAACCTGAGGTTACCTGGTTACCTAGCTAGCAGGGTTAAATTTAACTCGTGACAAGGTTTGAACACTAAAACACAACAAACCTGCGATTAAAATTTATCCTCAGGTTAAGCCAATTTAACCCGAGGTTAGGATTTAACCCGCTTTGGAACATCTGGGCCCTTGTCTTATCGTGTCGTATCGGGTCAAGTCAGTCAAGTTCAAACCTTCGGAAACCCAGGTGGAGATCATATGAAGGCAATGAAAAAGCGTCGTCGACTTAAAATTTGTTCGGCTTGGCCTGGTTAGCATGAGGTCAATTGTTCTGGCGAGCCTTTAATTTCGTTTTTTTTTGAAATCGCGAATGCTAGTCTGTTAGCCTTCCTTCTACATGCTTCTCTAAATTTTCGACACTGTTTGTTGCTCTTAGGGAAGTGGTGTTGCTTCAAGAAAAGTTGTCCGCTTACAATACTTTTGTGGTAAGAAAAATGTTTTCTGTCGTTATTTCCTAGTAAATTGTCTTACTCGTAGTGTTAAGCCATGCATAGTAGAATGTCTACTGTGATGTTATTTGGACGAAGGCTTTTACTTTTACTGTTGTCTTGTTGTTGTTGTTGTTGTTTTTATGTTGTACATTAAAGGTGATTTATATCTTTGAGTTGTGGATTTACTCTAATATCCTGGCGATTAACCGTTCAGATATTAGTCACTTAACAGACCCTTGTCGTGGATGTGTCAGTTGTAGTAATTTAGAAAGTCAAGTTTGCGACATGCAACTTGCTTATTTTTTTCGTCGTTTTGTTTTGTTCAGGTTCCAAATGGTCACGAAGAAGACGAACTCGCTGATGGAGAAGTCATGAATTACATGTGTCGAGATGATGAGGTAATGAAAGAGAACCTTTACTCTTACAAGTGTTTGATCTTAAAACTTTCTTTCGAACAACAACAACAAAATCAGAATTTTTTTCCAAAGTGCGAAAAGAATATTTTAGAAAACCAAATTATACGAAAATGCGCGCCGCCATTTTGAATTTTGTGACGTCAGTTAGTCGCTACGAACCATTGTTCCATGCCAAAGAACATGTAGCCTTCCACAATGTAACTCGAAAAAGTCATAGTTGTTCAAATGGAAACTCGCCAAAAGTTTAAAAGCAAAACATTTCTGATTATTTTCCTTTTCGCATTTAAAAAAAGAATTGGAAATTAGAATTCACTTCTGATAAGCTGACGTCAATTTGTTAACACAATGGGAATCCGTGATTACAATAGCAAGGAATGCTAGTCTAGGAAATAAAACTATACCAAGAAAGAGAAATTCATCACAGACACAGTAAAAACGAGGATTTCAACTAACCTCAACGAACTTCGAGCCACAAAAAGCCAGCGGAGGTCGGTATATCAAAGCAATGGGCCTGCAAGGCATTGTGGTAAAAATACGGTGCATTGCGGTTAAAAATCCAGATGCATCATGGGTAGAAATGGAAAATGTTTGTCCCTTTACCGATTGGGTCTGCTGCCCTGCTCGCTCGCTTCAGGCTCGCTGGCGCGGCAGCAATCAGTAAATTTTGACCTCTGTATCTTTATATCTTACAGAGCGAGTTTTATGGAAGCAATTTAAGCCTGACCGATTCAGTGACTCCGCCTGTTATCACCCCTCCCCCCACACCTGTTAATCGCTTTCTGGCTTCTGTGAGCTCCAGCAAACGGAACCAAATCCACGTGTGTATCCCGCGATACATCCTACGGGGCCTGGGCCGAGATTCCTATCACGTGTTTGAAGTGAAGGTAAAGCATTTTTTTCGCACTGTTTTAGTTCTTTGTTGTTGTTGTTGTTGTTTTTCCCACCTATACTGCGTCCGTGACGTAGCCATTCCCATGATCGTCAGCTTACAGTGCTTATAGTTAATTGACTTAATTGCATGCGTAACAGGAGCCCGATATAATTTACCCTTTTGTAACGATAATCTCTCCGTAGTGCTATCAGACTTCGTTTTTTCCCTGTAAATGATTGAAATGTTAAGTTCCTAAGAAAGTAAATGTACGAATATCTGATGACAATGTTTTATTGTTTTTCCGCGGTCGTAACTCTTCTATCCATTTAGCTTGTTTTGTTTTGTTCAGTTTTATTTTTCGTATCTCTGCTTTCGTTTACTGGCTAAAGAAAAGGTTGTGTGAACTTATTATCGTGATTTACCTGTTTCATGGCTGAGCACTAATTTTTTTTGGATTTCAGAGCACAGTCGGTGCTGATACATGGTCAGTTTACCGCAGATATCGGAAATTTCGAGAGCTGCACAAGACGATGCAGAAAAGTTATTACGAGGTACTGATACTGATGTTTTTTATCTCTTCCCAAGCGCACAGTCCATTGTACTATATGCAAGTATAAATAAGGGGTGAGGGTACTCTCTTTATGCTATACAGACACCGTAAACTATATACCTTCAAACTTATAAGCCCCCCCAAAAAATACAGGTCCATCTACCGGTAAACAAAAGATACATTCGGCTATAAGCGCCCACGGATATAAGCCTCCCCTTCTCTAGCTTCTATTGAAATGAATTCAATTTTTTACGACGTGTTGAAGCTTGAAAAAGGGAGCAAAATCAAAAAGTATTTTGATCAGCACTGCTATGTAGCTTGTTTTAAAACGTTTTTTAGTCCGGATATAAGCCCTCCCACCCCCTCCCCCCATTTATAAGCCCTTCTTACAAAGTTGTACTAGTAATAACCAAAGGTTACGGAGTGCGGGCGACAACCATCGAAGGTCAAAACGTTTTGCTTTATCACTGTGCTAGTGTGCTCTGCGTAACCTTCACGTGAGAGAAAGTCAGAACACGCGTGATCAGATTGAAGGTCCAAACGCGCGTGATCAACTTGCGTTCAGTGCATTCCATTCATTCTTAGTGGAAGTGCAAACAAATACTGGCTACATACATGCGACGCATGCGTAATAACAACCTGGAGATTAGGATTGCGGGTTCCTCTTGTCGCACGCAATAAGCCCAGGGCTGATAAGTGGAAGTTCACGGTATCTCCTCGTTTCTTTTAATAAACGTCTTAGTGTGAAAAGTAAGACGTTATTCACAAGCCCAGGAAACTTTTAACGACTGCCACTGCACGCATTTGTGGCTCTAGTTTTACTTGTATATAAAACTTTGTATTATGCGAATTTATAGTTTGGCCTTTGTTAGGAGTGGTTAGTGTTTTCTCTCCTCCCCCCCACCCCCTCCCGCCCCAAAGGGAACTCCATTCTCTCTGCTTTAGCTCACACTTTTTACTCCTTTACGATTTAGATTGGCGCTCTAGATTTTCCTAACCGACGGTTTTTCGGCAACAGAGCTGAAGAATTTGTAAGAGCTAGAAGGGCACAACTTGAGGTAATGTGACGTATACTCTGTGGACTTCTTTAGTTCGTTTGCCTCAAGTCTAGTGTAGTATCGTGGTAGTTTGTCTGATATAGTGACAGAGCACTGACGGTTGGTTGCCTCTACATAAATGTGGAAGGCTCGTGTCGTTCGTCATTCCAGTGCCGTGAGGCACGGCAAGCTCAATCACGGTGTACTGTTATAGCACCACTTGGCTTTAAACGTCTTGTTGCCATGTCAAATTCAATGCAGCTCATAATATATCATAAACTGTAGCCTGTGTAACTAGCGGAATTTGTAGTTTTTGATCATTGAGAAGAATGGAACGATTCTAGCAAAGCAAGGCGGCTCCACGCTCAAACTATGTTTTGTTCAAGTTTTCTGCTCTCGTGTAAGTCAGTCAACCTAAGGATTTTCTGTGTTACTTTTCAGGCGTATCTTCAATCGTTCATTGGACTGTGCTCCAAAATCCCAGATTGCCCGATTTCAGCCATGACTAACAGAACGCTGACCAAAAGGGATCTGTGTGACTTTGCTCCGTTTTTCAAACAAGGCATCTTCGAACAAACTAAAGCCTATTCGGGATAATTCTTAAATAGCCTGCACAATTCTTTCTTTTGATCTCTCTCCCTTGCTTCGAGTGGAAGAAGAGAAGATGTGCATCACTGGCTATCGGTTTCGGTACGATTCAAACTACGAAAAGCCTAAAGGCATAGCATAAAGTAATAATATTTAAAAGTAATTCGTAATTACTGTGTCAGTTAACTGAAGGAAGCTGTTTAACACTTTTTTTGGGAACGCTTGGCCTTGTAAGGCCATAATAAAATGGTATAAATAATAATTACAAAATTATAAAATGGCATATTATAACAATCTTGGTATAAGAAGTTTGGAAAAGTGTAATGTAGATTCACACATTTTGTGGAAAGTTTGTATATTTTTCATGCGTTATTGGAAAAGTAACTGCGTTTTACAATAGCGTGACATATAAATGTCGGATTTCATGTCACACAAAATTTGTCACCCAATATATAGACGTCGAAAATATTCCCCAGTGGTTTTCTAATTGGGTGACTTTCGGTTTTATATTTTAAACTAAGACTACAATGATAGTGTTATAGATTTTGCAATTTCGAATATTCAGGCAATGAACAGATAACATTAACAAGCGGAACAAATGATATTTTGCCGTTGATAAATGATAGTGCAAATTCTATTTATTTATGTAAGGAGTGGTACAGTATATAGCTGAATATTTTGCGTATTTATAAATACTGGCTCGCTAGACAATGATTGTCACGAATAAATTAACTGGAATTAAAACTAGTCTTTTTAAAAATGATTAATAGTGGAAAAGATGATAATCGCTGTGTAACTGAAAGAGTCTGGGGACATCTTTACCCCGAGTTTTTTGAATAGGCCATTTCTGAGTTCTAAAACTCTCATTTTCAAAACGAGGCTACAATAGCTTCACAATTAGCCTCGCTTTGAAACAGAGGCTCGAGGCAACTCGAAAATGGGCCATAATATGTTTCTCATGGATTTGTGATGTCAGCCCTGGCTGAGCATTTGAAGGAAAAATTTTTTTTCAAGTCTCTGACCAGTAAGAAAATCATAAAGTGTCCTTCAATTCATGCATGGGCACTGCTGTTAAGTTTATCGGGAAGAGGGTGTTTGCCGTCTCAAGTTTTTCCTTGTATTAGGGAATTTAAGATACAACAACGCGACGGCAACGAGAACGTCGCTTAAAAAGTGATCATGAGTTTGCGTTCTTTCAGTCTTTATCGCAATTATACCTACCCACTGACTTTGTCAAATGTAGGCGAACCCTCCTGGAGTTGAATTCCTAGGGACCATATCCAAGTTCAGAGAGAGAAATAAAATTTCGTCGTTGCTTGTTTACGTACTCCATAAAATGCGAAATTAGGCATTTTCACCTCGTAGTAGTGCAAAAGAGGGCAAACCTAATGTTTTTCCTTGGACGTTCTCGTTGCCGTCCGCGTCGCTGGATCTTAAAGGCCCTAATTATTACTTGACGTATATGGCAAACGGTAAACGTCAGATTCAAGTTATGAATTTCTCGAAATAGAAAATGAGGAGATAAAAACGGTTCAAAACAATTCTTATGGATAAAAAAATTTCGTGAAACTACCATAATTTATGTGTAGAAATAATGAACAGTAAACGACAAGTGAGGGGGAAGCTTGGTCATGTGGTACAAATTCGCGTTTGACGTTTGACGTTAACATGAAGTTAACCCTCTATTATTATTATTATTATTATTATTATTATTATTATTATTATTTCTTTTTTCAATATGATTTAAATCCGGACCCTTCCCTCTTCAGTTTCAAAACAGTCTAGCAAGCCTTTGTGAAATGAGAGGTTCGTCGAAAAATGGCAAGATCTACGATTACCAAATTTTGTACATGCTGTGTAACAAACTGTGTTTCGCGTTTAGAATTTCAAACCACGAATTGTAGGCCCCTGGTACGGACGTGAAGCAAGTGAATCCTCTACCCTCCTTCCCTCCCATTCTTTCTTGATAACGCAAGGAAAGTTTCTCGTTTCTCACTTCCGTTATTTATAAAATCAATCTGGATAGTTATTCATTTTCCTTTCAGTTATTTCCAGTCTTGAGCCCTTACCATTCGTACAGAAAATCAGGTAATTCCGGGGAGAATTTAGACTGCAAAACGGTCGTTTTCAGCCTCGTTCCAGACCTTTTGTTTGACTGCTCGCGCCTACTTGAATACGCAAAAACACGGACTGTTTTGCATTCTAGGGAGAATTTGAATCGAACAGTTAATTCCGGTGGAATGTTTTCGATGAATAGGTAATACCTTCCGAGGTATTACCTTTGCCCACCTTTGCCGGAACGACTCAAATTTTCTGTACCATTTGTTAGGATTACCAGTGCCAAGCTTCTCGAGAGAAAGAGAAAAATTTACTGGCATTTTGTGAATGGTTCAACTCAATCCCATCCTTGTTTTCGGTGCGAAAAAAAATTCCAGTAGAATTTGACGGAAAATTTTCATCGAAATCCTTAACTCCATCAAATTAAAAGTAAGTTTGAGTAACAGTATTAGTGATAGAAGCAGTGAGAAATCATATCGATGAAATTATGTTCATATGGGCTATATTGTTTTTGTTTTTCTATGTAAGTGGCACTTCGGATGAAATACAAGACCAAACTGCCGAATTAACGAAAAATGCCAATACAACGCGTCTAAACAAAACGTGGGGGTTAATTAAGAGCTCCTTTAAGTAATTCGATTAGGTCCAATACCAAGTTTGAGAAAAAACTGCTTCTTTTAAGGTCAATCTATAGTAATGTGCAGAGGGATTTTTACTTCTCTCCTCAGTTGTTTGGCCGTCGGTGAATATATAACAATTCATTTAGAAGCTAATATAAGTAAACAAACGTGAAAGAGCGTTCAAAAACTGGCTCCCGTCAATCTAATTTCCTATTTAGAAAACTACACAACACCCCCACCCCCACCTCTCCATCAAGAGCAAACTGATTCGTGGCGCATCCCGAATATGATTTGTGCCAACCCGCTTTTGCGTTTTCTTAACGTCGATCGGAATGGGTTAAATAGACAGAGTATAAAGACAAAAAAAAACTTTCAAACATTACGTCCTCTTATTTTTTGTTATTGAAACTTCCAATTCAATCTCATGTGTAGTAAGGAGCACTTCAAACACAACAACATCTCGGTCATTCGCCTCAGCGGTAAGGTTGAACCTTCATCAAGGTCGATATTGTCCCGTAGATCAAATCATTATATTTGAGTTAGTTTTTCAGATTAAGAAAGTTGTTTTTACTTTGAAAATGTCGCGAGTTTCACCCCCTGCAAACTTTGTGCGGTTTCTAGAAATTCATTGTCCGTTATATTAAAGCAGAGCGGTTAGAGCTTCCATTATACACTTTCCAAACCTTGTTTAAAGAACACAAAATGCAGCGCAGACGTTCAGGGGAAGAAAAAATCCATATTGCAACTTTAGACGTCCGAAACTACCGTCCCGACGAAGTCAGCCTTCGAGTCGAAGGAGATATTTTAGTTGTGAAAGCTAAGCATTACGCTGACGGAAGCTTTGGTTTCGAGCGAAATGAATTACAACGCACCTATCCGGTGCCGCAAGATGCAGATCCAGCAAGCATAACCTCAAAGATTTCTCAAGATGGCTATTTAACCATCGAAGCGACGAAACGAGTGGTTAAAACAGCGGATAACGATTTCGTGCTTGGGGGATTTGAAACGCGCGCGGGAGAAGTGGCGAGAATTGACGACAAGAAATTCAGCGTTTTGTTAGATGTGGCAAATTTCAAGCCTGAGGAAATCAAAGTTAAAGTTGTGGGGAATGAGTTATCAGTCAGCGCGAAACACGAGTCTGAAAAAGAAGGCCATTTCACCTCACGCCAGTTTAACCGACATTTTGTACTCCCCAAAGACGTGGATATGAGCAGTGTGATCTCTCGTCTCAACGATGAAGGAAAACTACTGGTTGAAGCCGAAAGAAAAGCTCTGCCGCCACCACAAGAGAGGTTTATAAGCATCGAAAAAGACAAAAAGGCTTGAGTTAATAGTAATTTGCTAAAGTTGTAACTTGAATTGCATTGGAATGTACGAAAGTGACATGAAAATTATATTGCACCTTACAGGAGATAAAAGAACTATTCATTTAAGTAAAAAAGGAAATTGATATTTGTTGAATGGTTGTTATAGTATTCTGACCAGGAAAAAATTAAAACGCAGCAGGAGCCCCTACTGAAAACAGGTCCCATAGCTGACATAGTTAAAGCTCCTCATTTAATCATCTAACGCGACGCGCGTGGAGTCCTGGAAATAATGCTCTTATCCTTCCCAAGACGCCCTGCGCTCTTTTTTTTCCTAACGCCACAGGAGCGGAAGGAGCACCTGTAAACGAGGCAGGAGGCCGAGGCAGGATCATCTACATCTGCACCCGCCTCGTCCCTTGCCTAGGAACACAGAGGACGAGAGGTTAATTGAGCATACCAAGCCTTTGCCAGTCTGAACATTTCATTCAGTACAAGTACAGCGAAAATATAACAACCACCTTGTGTCTGCAGATCATTTTTTTCGTCTAAAATAACTTTTTGGTGGGAAAAACGAATAAAGAAAAATAGTGAATAAAGACTACATCGCATCCTCTTTTGCCATATAAAAATTGCAACATTTGTTCCTAGCGGGAAAATTTGAAAAGAAGATTGGCAATTCGCGAAACTAATTTAATGCACAGCACAGAGGGACACGCAGTGGATTTTATACCACTCGGAATCGGGACAGTTTGAATATGTTTAAGTTGATTCTCATATATATCGTTTTAACATCGAAAATACCTTTAAAATGTCCTTTATTTCTGTATAATACACCTATTTACATGATTGGATGATTATGAAGGAATCTAATGAAATGCAAAACCCAGAGATCTCAGCCAGTCGTTGTAATAGCGGTACGAATCCCAGTCCATTCAACTCAAAAGATGCCATGGTAACGATGTGTGCAACTTTCTTTTCCCATGATTGTGTTAGCTGAAAGTGAAAGCAGACAAAAGGGCTCAAATAAAATCTTCCTTCAAAAAAGGATAAAAGAATTATTCGTTTGAATGTATGGGGTTGTTCCCAGAGAACACTATTTCATGTAAATATATCTTTTCCTATTTAGGGCAGCATTTTTTAAGAACAAGAAATAAATTTATCTAGCAGGACTAGCAAGACAGAGGGCATTTTTACCTGGTTCAATTAAATAAAGAATCTAAGCGGCAAACAATTAGTCAGGTGTCCATTAATTCGTCTTTTGATTCGTCCTCATGAGCTCGCTTCACTCCACCTGCGAACGAAACAAATATTTTCAAAATAAACAAATGATCTTGATATGTAACTTCAACCGCTTCACTCCCAAAGCCAAGTATAAAAACACAGTTGTTAACTTTCATCCTTACCTTTTTGAGACTGTATGAATGAAATTTCGTGGTGCGACCATTTCAGTGCAACCTCTTCGACATTACTCGTGCATTGTACAATTTCTTGAGACTGCATGAACGAAATTTTGTGATGTGACCATTTCAAAGAAACCTCTTCGACATTACTAGTGCATTGTACCAATTCTTTGACAGTAATTTGCAAACTGAATTTCTGCATTTTTTTTTTCCTAAATGCTTCCGTTGTTAAGTTTTCGTGAAAATTTTAGCCCTATTCTCCCCGATGTCCAGTGGTTTTTAGACTACGAGTAGTCCCCCATTTTTCCTCAGGGATAGTAGAGCGAGCGAAACGCGAGCACGCGTTAAAATCACCCCACGCAAGAAAAGGAAAATTGGGGGACTACTCGTAGTCTAAGTGGTTTTTTACAAACTTGAGCCGCTAAGCTGCCAAAGTCAGTAAGAGAGAGGTGTCCGTACTGATAGCCCTGGGTTCAACAGTACAAGACACAAGCTTTTTTTTTCAGTTTAGTGGTGGATCTCTTTCAGAGCAAAATTTTCAAGATAACCATAAATTCTTCTACCTTGATGTAGTCTCTCTCCTGATGTCCTCGCCTGATAATTTGCTAAATAAATTGGCTCGTACTCCTGTAGACAATAATAAACATGCTATAAGATGAGAACTCTGACAAAATTTTCATTTTTTCTTATTTGTTCAGTGTTCCTAGAAGAGATAAATCACTGATGTTGATAGCTACCCTGTGAATACGGCAGGCAAGCTTTCATTATTCATCACGCTAGGAATGCCTTTAGTGCCCTACTGTCCGGCAAGGAGGGATGAGAGGTGGTGATTTTATGAGTGTGACCTAAAGCAGGTTGTTTGTGAACTCTTACCATAAGCTGTTGAACAAAGCCCTCATTAGGATTAATGCAAAATCTTCTCTGTTGCACATAATGAAATGCTTCCCTAAAATAGAAATGGTTAAGTTAAACACATGGAATGTCCCTTAGCCTAGGTAAGTAGAGGTTTCATGCAACTGTCGCCTATTTGTCTTTTTCACTGACTGTTCAGTCATCAATTTTCTTGTTTTTTTATTCAACAACATGGCAACATTTGCTTGCTACCTCCTCACACTCATTTCATTCACTATTAATTTTCTGCATTCTGAGAAAAACAGACAAGCTGTGAAGAGACTACTAGTTCAAGTTCCACTTCTTTACCAAAAACATGCATGCACTGTTCTGACTATGCAAATCCAAAAGGCATGTACCCGTGAAAGAATTCTTTGGAAGTATTTTAAACTTATTTATAAAAACAAACAAATAGCTAACCTATATGTTAAACCATAAGTTTCCATAATAAAGGCAATCATTAAAGCAGCACTGAAAAAAAAGAGAAATTTTTAGTCCATAAAATAATGTAATTTCAAGAACAGTAAAAAACAATTTCATCATTAGAAATCATGTAAGTAGAAACAAAAAACTTTTAACTCTATGACAGTTATGTATAATCATGTATGACCATCAAGTGTATAAATAGCAATTTACTAGATATTTCCATCTGTGCAACCACTGTGCAACTTGGTCAATAACTTAACCAAGGGAAAAACCTCTTCAGGCCCAATGCCCCAATCACACCAACTAAACATGTTTTATTAAAATGGGTTTAATAAAATGAAAAACAGTGACAGAAAACTAGAATACAGGCTTGTGCACAGAATTCAAATACACTTTATGTAATATGTAATTGCAAACAAATAATTTGCAACAAAAAATTACAGTCAGCAGCTCCTTTAAGTTATAAACAAATTTAAACCCTTTTTATCTAAACAGCTTTAAACACATTTAAGCCTTAGTGTGAATGGGCCTTAAGACGGACATTCGATTGTAAGTACTAACAAAGTGTGTGATAGCAAAGTGTGCTTGATGGTGGGTTGCCTGTGGTGCTGGGTCCTACAGTAGCAGTAGCAGTGTCTGTGACAAAAGGAGGCCTGTTAGTGGTGTGGCTGTGACGGTGGATAGCTGTAGCCTCAGTACAGATGTCTTTAATAACATGTAACAAGGTGCCTAAACAACAAGTGATTCCTGACCAACCTTCTAGAAATTCCAGCATTTCCATGTAATAGAACCTTTCCTAAAACGATTAAAAATTAAATATATTGGACGCAGACGCAGAGGGTGGACATGGTAATTGATACATAAACATAAACATAAAACAAGCAGCTTTAATGCCACACAAAAAATATGCCTGCATTGCAGGCTAAGCCATTATGTCTTCAACCTTGCCAAGTTATAGATCAAGTATCATCGGCGTGAAGTTATAATGTACAGTCAAGCATCCATTAAGCAGCCACCTATTAACTGGCCATCCTCTATTAAGCAGCCAGTAATCAAAGTCCCGAAATAATTGTTATTGTAGAAAAGAATGGGAAATAAACCCTCTATTAAGTAGCCTATTTAGTGACTGCGACCACCTTTTGGCAGTCCCAACAAGAGTTCTCCCATTCTTGTCACCTCTATTAAGTGGCCATCAAGCACTTGATACACTAAGCTAAAAAAGTTTGGCTTCATTTTAAGAAATGTGATGAAGGAAAATACATTCTGAGATAGAAGGTGATGATCGGTTGTAGACCAGTAATGTTTCTACCGTTGCGTTGTTTCAAAATAAAGTGATGATTCTGCTAAAGATTATATGCCAATTTATCATGAACCTCTATTAAGTGGCCAACTTCCATTAAGTGGTCACTTGTTGGTACCCTGAGGGTTAATTGCCGCTTAATGGAGGTTCAACTGTAGTTGGTTACTTCTATGTTAATAATTATAACTTACCACCACTGTTCAAGCAGCTGTCAATGAAGGCTTTTACCTGTGAGCAGAATGAAGAAAAACAGCTCATAATGAGGGACTGGGACAGGAAAGGGATTGTTTGCTGCAGGATCTACCCACCCTCTCCCTCACCGGGGGCAATGATTAGAATTCTCAAAGGCCACAGCTGTTAAAGGTTTTGTACAAAACAAAGCTAAACTAAAATGTTCTGAGGGAGGAGAGGCTATAAACACCAAAAGTAAAAACTCTCCAAGGCTATGAAGATATCTTCTAGAAAAGGACACTGTCTCCAGTTACCTTTGGAAAATGAATGATTATGTTTTCTGTTGGTGAATCAGCAACATCTAATACCAAATAGCTGGAAAACAAACAAAACATTATAAAGGTGGCATTACATTAAACTTCCAGTCCTGAGTACCATAGCCCAAAAAATTAATTTATATTTAAGTTAAAAATTCAATCACAAATCTAATTAAAATGAGAAAGAAAGAACTATATAACCATGTGTTAAATTGTCTTGGACTGGAAAAATCCATATATATACCCACGGACCAACTGTTATGTATTATGCCTACAGATCAATCTTGCATAAAACGGACAATGCGTTTCTCAAACCTGACATTCATAAGTTTGTACAAAATTGCTTGTTAGTTGTTGATATTTTAAACAAGAAAAAGTACTCTTCAATTTCAACAAAATCTAAAATACTGTCCAGTAAATGGCTCTACACATGAAACATAATTTTTAAGCCTGCTCAATGAATCCAGCTATACTTGTTATTATTAAGATACTGAGTTTCAGTTTGAGGGACTGGAAAACAGAATTTAGGTTAATAGGGAGATGAAAATCAACATATCAAAGTGTTATTTCACAATTTTTTTTACTTGACATTATCAATATTTCTGCTTGCAAATTTAATTGATTTATTTTTATAATTTCTGTAAACTTGGACCTGCAACTTTGAAAAATTATTACGTCAACATTTCAACAACTAAACTATATAACACACTCCTTATACTTACTTAAAGTGTTGTGGGAAGTTAGGACGGACAAAGTTGGCCTCAATATTTTGTCTTATACAAACAACATGAGATATTCCAACTTGTCTTAGAACTTCTAACTGTAAAAGAATAACATAAAATCTTAGGATTTAAGGGTTTTCATCATATCAATACAAGGAAATCTTTCTTTCATAACAAAAAATAACAGTATTTGCAATCCTGTCAAACAAACAGGCAAACAACAGATGTTGAAAGCCTTTGGTAATAAAAAATTTTATTTAAAAAAAAAATTATTTAGTAAACAGCTCGTACTTTGCTATTCATTGCTGCTGAATATGGTCCAAGATAAACACCAGGTACAATTTCCTTTAAAAAAAAGTATTAATAAAATAAACTCATGGATTGAATGATTTTTTCCTAAACCATTACTGGTTGTGATTCATTCATGTGGTCAATAAGTTTGTATACAGCTGCCCCCACCCATCCCCCCAGGAAAAAAAATAAGATAACAGGGATTGCCTGTGATCATGTTTATAATTTTGCATACATTATGGGAAGTGATCCACACTGACCAAAATTAATAATTTCCATGCTTTTTTTGTACCAGATTTTCTTCAGAGAAGTCAAACCTGCAAAAATGAAAGCCAAGGAAAACTTGCTTTTTCAATGATGTAATAATCTGTGGTAACAGCAAATCGCGTCATCTTCCACACATTGCAGAATGACCTCAGAAAACAGCCAACATTTCGCGATGCCTTCACTGGTTTCCCTGCAAAATGACATCTGAGAAACAAGTGCAGGAATTCCATACTGATCTGCCGTGTCATTACCCAGATCTGAGTAGTGTTAATTCTGATTGGTTGAAGATTGTTTCATCCAATCAGAAGCGCAGTGGTGCTTCATCAGGGTGGAATTTCTGCACTTTTTTCTCAGACATCATTTCACGGGAAAACCGGTGGTGGCATGGTGAGATGTTAGCTGTTTCATAAGGCAAATTCCAGAAAAAGTCATGAGGTCTTTGAACACAATATATATTATCAATGGCAAATCACAGATGCTCCTTTCCAGATTTTTTCTGAGAGGAGGGGGTAACTGTACACAGGCTTGTGACCAATCAATATTACTTGCTCTTTTTTGTTCTCTTATGATAGATATACAATGATGTAGAGTAAATTTACAATGAATGTTACTTACAAAAAAATAAATAACCAACAAATCACTCATGATGAGATCAGCCGTACCTGCATTTCTCTTCTCTTGGAGTATGTCCAGTCCTGTAAACATATACAACTTAGTCCAAGCTGACAGAAAAGCAAGGGAAAGCAATAATCTGTTGTACATGTACCGACAACATGTACCATATTTATTTCGATTAAACCAATGATTGATTACAATAATTGTAATGTTGTATTGCTGATAGGCACACCACTATTCCAGACCCTTAGATTTATGGACTTTTTACCCCAGTTCCACAGGGTCGGTAATCCTATTGTAAAAGTGACATTATTTGTTGGGCATGATGAAGAAGAAAATCGAATCATTCTTGAGCACAAAATTATTTATAATGTTGTCTGCAGATCTGGCTGAAAGACCACCTACTGATTGATGAATAAGTAGCAAATACTAACAATTCTATAAATGTTTTAAGTTAAATATTGTTGTCTTTAAATATTCAATATCTAGAAAAAATTAATAAAGTTAAATAATCATATGATATTTGTCTGAGATAATTATCTGCTTTCGTCGAAGTTGAAAAGCAACCAATCTTTGTTTGGTACGAAAAAGAATTTTTTAAGCACTACTCTATAAAGCCTGGTTGCATAAAAATCGAGGATTAATTTTGGTAGTACAATAAGCTTACTTTTTGTATAAGCTCTAAAAATCGAAGATACATCACTTACCACAAATTCATCTTTGTTTGGAATTTCCGGGAACTCTAACGTAGGTATACATTCCGAATTTGTTGTAGATTGCATTTAGGACAATATCTAACTCAGAACTAACAGCAAACTAGTTAACAGATATAGAAAATCTTCACACGTTCAAAACCAAAAAATGCACCACCAAAACACAACTGAGATTCGACCCAGGCTTCCCGCTGGCAGCCTCATCTCGAAGTCGAAGCCCTACAAAATGGCGGAAGTTGAGAGGTCGTGGACGGACGAGCAACTGCACAGCGAAACCGTTTCTAAGAAGGATATTATAAAGTTTTTGCATGAGCATGCATCATTTGAGGTATTGATAGAAACAAATTCACGTCTTTATGTAGTTGATGATTGCGTTTTTGTAGTTTTTCACACAACGTGCAGTGGCTCACAGGCCCCATTCAACAAACAATGAAAAGTTCTCTCTTCTGTAGGTGGAAACAAAACAGTATTTTAAATAACGATCGAACCAACAGGCTTGATGTAAACCATCTTTATGCCTTTTAACATGAATATCTGCTAATATCTAAGGGTATTTTGTGGAAATTATTGTTGTTTTCATGTTTTTTTTTTGTCATTTTGCCTTTTTGCGCGTGGCGTTGTTTGTGACCCGCCCCCAGCCCACCCATTTCACTTGTTGATTTTGCACCTTTTTACACTTTTGCTTCCTTCGCCGATAGTTACAGTTATATAGTTAGTTTCAATTTTTTATTTTTAGTTTCTCAAAGAGCACAAGTTGAATGGGAAACTGAACAACATTGCAAAGACGAGTAAGAAAGATCATCTTATTGAAAGCTACAAACACCTGTTTGAAGTCAAGGTTAGTTATTACACTGAATAGGTAGTTACAGGGTATGTTGGATAAATTGCAGAATGTATCTGCAACTACAGGAGTGAAGCTCCGAAACACCCACTGCAGGGTCCATGATCCCTGTTTTCTTTTTGTTATCTCAACCCTTTAAACCCTAAGATCAAAATTTTAATTCCCATTTGTTTTCCCTATTCATTTCCTACAGAAGTAGTGAGGAGAAGTTGATAAAATATCAAGCAAATTCATCTTGTGTGATCATGTCCATAATTGTAATGAATGAGTGCTCTGTTTTACAAAAGCATTGATATTACAAGGAGAAATTTGATGCTGATCACTCTTAGGGCTTAAAGGGTTAAGTACACAAGAAACTGCTACACATGGGTCATTATAATAAGTTATTTACACTGGCAGATCCAGGATTAAAGTTCCAGATATACTTCATTATTGCTGTCAGACCACAGGATTTTTTTTAGTATTAACTAGATGCTGTAAAGCGTTTGTCTAATCATAGCATGCACAGTAACAGAGAGGCAATAACAAACAAGAGAGACTTCAATATTATTGTTCTAGGCATTTCGTACTGAGAGTGAAGCTGCCCTTGAGGATGAACTGAAAGAGGCAGCAGAACAGGCAGCGGCTATGCGCATCACTGAAAAGAAGAAAGAAAGAAAGAGTTCAGAATCAAAGGACCACAAAAAGGAGGTGCGTTCATAAATAGGTCTTCAGAACTAAACTGGCCTAACCTCCAAAGAGCAAGATGTATAACAATAATTAAACATCAGAGACAGCTGCAGCACTAGTTATGATCAGGATTGAAGAAGGAAAAAACCTCTATTAATCCAGTCACTACATGAACTGGAATTCCCTCTTTAGTAAAAAGAGAGGAACAAAGGGGAACAATGGCCAAAGAAAAAGAATTTCTATCTGTGAGATACCGAATGGATATTTTCACTGTTGTGAATATTGTATCATTAATTTTAAAACATGTATGTTTACTTCAAATCCACCCATCAAAGCCTATATAATGATCACCAAATGGCTAATGGCTAGAAGAAAATACCGTAAAATTCCGAAAATAAGCCCCCCCATGTATAAGCCCCTCCAAATATAAGCCCCCCAAAATCGTAACGCAAAAAAGCCTCCCTTAAATTGCCCCTCCAAATATAAGCCCCCTGGGAGGCTTATACTTGGAATTTGCCCCTGAATACAATGTAAAACAAAGCAAAAAATGGTTAATTTCCTTCCCACTACAAGCTAGCCCAATCGATTTTGAAACGCAAATTTCCCTCTTTACATAAGCCCCTCCGAATATAAGCCCCTCCAAAAATAAGCCCCTCAAAAAGAGCCTTTAAAAAATATAAGCCCCAGGGCTTATTTTCAGAATTTTACGGTACTCACCATCATGTTTATAAGCCCAGACCTTTTAAAGTTTGTTCTGGAATTTAATATCCTCAGGAGCCAAAGTTCACCAAGAAAATCTTAAAACATGGTGATAAGACGACATATCCATCCAAAGGTGACAGAGTGTCATGTTTCTACTCTGGCAAACTGGAAAATGGAGTTGTATTTGACAGCAATATGCCTGGAACAAGTATGTGGGTTTGAGTTGGCTTAATCCATTTTAGGGCTGCCATTAAGGGCTGAGGGCTAGGAGCTGGGGGCTGGGGGCTGGGGGCTGGGGGCTGGGGGCTGAGGGCTGGGGGCTGGGGGCTGGGGGCTGGGAATTTTCGCCAGCTATTATGAACGTAACCCCCGCCTGCTTTTGTAGGAAAATAGAAGAAAACTAGAACCAAACAAAATCCCTAGTTGTTGGATTCCCTGTCTACTTGTATCATTAGCCCAACACCTTAAAATTTTTAATGACAGTCCTGCCGATTTCCTTCTGGGAATTTTGCAGAAAATCTTGTTTTGAAGCTAATAAACCATTTTCTGGTCACTGTTTGGCTATCAAAAACCAAAACTGCCACGAAGCTGGTCACAGGTCACACACTTTGCAGCTTTCTGATCCAGATGCAAAATATTAGCATGCGTAGTCCAGGTATGCACAGAAAAGCAAAATTTCAAGATAGTGTTTGGATAATTAAAAGTGACAGAGCAGTCTTGACTTTTTCATTTTGCTTTCTCTCCTCCCCTCTCCTTTCGCTTTTCAAGCCTCCTTTTCATTCATTTGCTGGGCATTTAGTAAGCTTCTATTTTGGTGGGAGAAGCTAAAGCTTTTAGGATGTTAGGATTAGATGAAAGGAAAGTAAGGTGGGTAGTGGATGACAAGATTTTCATGGGAATTTTCAGGTCAACGTGACTTTGTTTTTCCCCTTTTTCTCCGTTCTTCTTGACTGAATCCTGCTGAATCTGGTATGGTTTGAAAGGTCTCCTCACCCCGCTAATGTTAGCTGATAAAGTTGTCCTTGACTTTTAAAACTAATGACGTCACAAGTACGTAGTACAGGGGACATGGAGCTGCACGGGCAGTTACAGGTGGTTCAGGGACAAATGGATTAATCAGGTCCAGTGGCCTGTGGGTCTAGCCAGCAGCTCACAGGCTATGCAGCTGGGTTTTGTTTCATTAAAAGGAGGTTTAATCATTGAATACTTTTTGGGAAACATTGTTATTTTATTTGTAATTTTTTCACCACTATTTATATATTTCAAAAGTTTCATCAATGGTTTAATTGTCTTGTCTTTTCCCTTTGTTGCTATTCAGCTGCAGTTGGAAAAAAGAAAAGCAAAGATGAAGGAAAACCATTCATTTTTCCGGTGGGAAAAGGACTCGTTATCAGAGGGGTGAGTTGAAAACTATTGCTCGTGCTGTAAGATTCGACTGTTAGCAATATTCCTTGTCTCCTGTGTATAACACTTGAATGAGAAGAGGTGGTGGAGGAAACTTTTTATTCTACAATGTTGTCATGTGCATGGTGTGCTGCCTTCTTTTGGAAGAACCTGTCTTGCTGGCTGACATGCTGGGTAATCTGCTCAGCTCCATGTCAGAATAAGGCCTGCAAATATCAGAGAAAAAAAAAAGCATCTTACCGCCAAGTTGCTGTATAATGAGCATCATGTGATGTGTTTGAATACACAATGATTAATGTTTAAGTTAATCCTGAAAATCATGCAAGACATTAAAGGGGCTATGTCACCCCACACGCATGTGCGGGCCAATGAAAACAAACTTGAAAAAGTCGGCCCGACTTTTTCAAGTTCTGTCTGAGATTTTGGAAGGCTGTTTTTATCTGTCTAAATCTCAGCCATCGTTCGATAGTTAACAAAGTTTTGTATTAAGAATCGTTCTATGGTGATTACAGAATAATTTTTTGGCGTTATTTTGAAATTGTTTGCCTGTGGAATGTTTTTACGTGGATTTACTGTGTCCTCTTATCAGCGGCCGTTGTAATGGCAGAGTTAATGATGGCTACTCCACAATGAGTGATGGAATCTTTGAAGGAATCTTCCCTATAGTTCACAGAACCTTTCTATTGAGTTATTTTAGAGGCTGCTGGCTCTTGGATTTTCCTTGTGCTCAAAGTTGGCGGCGGCCGTTTTTTGTAAACGATTACAAGAGCATCAGGCCATGATTTTCGTGACGAAACTAAACTCCTGGCGAAGGAAACATTATAAAATTCGGCTAGATTCCTTCTTGTATTTATCTGGATTGACAGCAAAGATAAACACGTCCGTTTGCTCGTCCAGATTGTTCTCAATGGACTTAGAGAGGCACCTTAGGACGAGTTAGATCCTGTAAATGCCATGTTTTTGAACTGTTTGTGTTCGAGCATATTTTTGGAAAATAGCAGAGTTTACTTTCCCTTTTTATCAACGGACTGCTTATAGTGGAGTAGTATACCAATGATGCTTGGTTCTGTTTTTCTCGACGTCGCAGTGATTCGGCATGATCGAACAATTTTGCGCGATAATGTATGTTTCCCTAAGATCAAAACAAAGACTTGATGTCTCTTGTTCTATCAGCATCTAAATTATAAAATCACTAGCGACAGACAAGTCTAATTGTTAATGATTTGAAACAGTCTTGGTCTTTATCTTCGGTCTAGCGTCTTTTGTAGCTCGTTTGTAAAATACAACTTCGATTTATTTTGTTGAATAAGACAATATGTTGTTGTTGAATTTTTTTTT